GGTAGTAAGGGCCCGGGCCCTCGGTACCACTATGGTACTAAGTAAATCCACAAGCCTGAAATCCCAGCGTGAGGAAGAATAAAAAGAAGAAATTGGTCCTTCGGGTGAAATGTTAAAATTCGGAGTGGGCGTTTGGTGCCCTCTAGTGAGTTGCAGTGGCAACAGGGAAGCAAGGACAGAAACTCCAGGGCCATCTGTGCCTTCATGATGGGCTGGAAGCGCCATTAGGACATCAAGTTGCACAGAGGAAGGGGAAACCTCCGCTTTGCTGGGTAATTGGTCCCATTCTTAGAAAGTACTTCCTAAAATTCGAAGAGAACCTGCCTTCCTGTTACTGTATTTAAATCCATCGTTCTGTGTCCTGGTGCCTGGAACAAGAGAATAGGCTGAGAGCCTTCAATGTGATATCCTTTCAGGGGATATCAAACTCCCTCGCTGTCCTCTTTTCCTAAGGCCAAACATGCCCAGCTCCTTCGGTCTTCCTTCACAAACCTTCATTTCTAGTCCCTTGATTGTTTTTTTAGTTTCCAGTTTTCGAAAACTTCCCCAGTCAGAAGACTCTGATGCACCTTTGTCCTCATTCGCCTGCTCTCACCCTGTTCTAATTTCTCTGCATCCTTTAAGTGTGGTGCCCTAAACTGGAGACTTTCTCGTGGTGGATTCTGACCTAAGCAGAATATTTCCTGTGATTTGGATGTTAATGCAGCAAAAAATTGCACTGGCTTTTTTGGCAGCCACATAATAGAGCCACTCTGCTCCAAGGTCAGGAACTATTCCCAAGCTAGGATCTTCCGTCCTGAATCTGTGCATTTGATTCTCATTGCCCAAGTGAGAACTTTGCAATGGTCTCCATTAAACTCCATGTTGTTATTTTCATCTCATTTCTCTAATCTATCAAGATCATTTAGAATTTTACATCTGTCACTTTTATTTCCTTCACAGATTTGATAACTATTTCCCCCACCTCATCATCCAGGCAATTTATGAAAATATTGAAGAGTAGTGAGCCTGTGACTAATCGTTATGGTACTTGATCCATATCTCCAGTTTGATAAGGAACCATTTATGAGCATTTTGAACTACAGTAGCTATATATTCACTTAATTATCATTGCATCTAGCTCACATTTAACTAGCATACAGTACTCATCAGCATATCCTGGGATACATTCTCAAATGCTGTGCTGCAGTCAAGGTATATTATTCTACAGCAAGTGAAGCTGATCAAAACAGAAAAGTATAGTTAAGCAAGAAATGGCATATATTGACAAATCCATATTGGCCTGATAATTACCACATTTGAAGCACTTACAGGACAGCCTCTTTATTATCTGCTCTAGAATCTTCCCAGATATTGATGTCAGACTGAGTGTAGCTGAACAGATCTTCTTTTTTTCCCCTTCATGAAGATATGGCCAACATTTGCTCTCCTCTATTCATCTAAGAATCAGTTGAAATAAATCATTGAGGTCATGTATTTGACACCTGCTCAGTGAAGGATTCACTAGATCATCTCTGACAGATGATAATCCAGCCTATGTTTGAAGACCCCCAGTGAAGGAGAACCCTCATTTCATTCCACTGGATGATAGCTCATATAGTCAGGAAGTTCCTCCTAATATCTAGCCTGAACCTATTTCCTTGTAGTTTTAATCCATGATTCTAGTCCATGGGTTAAAGTCCACTCCTTTGCCTGGGTGACAACCCTTCAGATATTTGAAGACGTCTATCATATCTTCCCTCAGTCATTTTTCTATAGGCTAAACTTACCCAGATCCTTCAACTGTTCCTCCAGACCTCTCACCATCTTTCATTCTTCTCTGAACTTGCTCCAATTTGTCACAGTGGTGCCCAGAACCGAAAACACTATTCCAAATAGGGCTTGACCCAGGGGAGAGTAGAATGGATAGCTGCTTCCCAGGATCTGGACCCTGTGCTCCTGTCTACCATTTGCCTTTTATGCAGCTGCATCACACTGCTGGCTCATGTTTAAATTGTGGGTGAGAAAGCCACCCAGATCTACTGCCAAGCCAGGTCTCCCCTATCCCATACTTGTGTCTTTCGTTTTTCTTACCCAGACGCAAAACTTTACATTTCTTCCAGTTATATTCCTTCATATTCATTTCAGGTCGCTGCTCAAGCTTGTCTAGATCTTTTTGAAAGTTGCCTCTCTCCACTAAAGTATTAGCTGCCCTTCCCAGTTTTGGTTCTTGTGCAAACTTGATAAGTATCCCCTAAATCTTTGATTAAAATGTTGAACAGCACAGGGGCCAGGACAGAGGCTTGTGACAGAGCATTTAACATCCTTATGCATTATCTTTGAGAAAACTTGGAGAACTGGTGGACGAGTGGGCAGAAGATATAAATGAGGACTTTCTGCCTCAGAAGACCAGTCTTTCAAAGAGGCACGTGATAGTGATAATGGCAAGTTTCAGTTATCCTGACATCTGCTGGAATCTAACTCTTGTCAAGAGACACAGATGCAACAAATTATTGTCCTCTCTTGCTGAACACTTCATTTGTCAGAAAGTGGAAGAAAAAACAAAGGGGGTCAGCTATCCTGGACCTAAGGAGAGGGAGGAATTGATTGAAGATGTGAAAGTGACTAGCACGGTGGGGGAAAGTGATCATGTTATCCTTAAATTCATGTTATCCAGGGAAGAAGGAACAGAAGAGTCAGGCCTGCATAAGGGACTTCAGAAGAATGAATTTTGATGAACTGGATTATAGCTAGTTCTTCAGCACCCATGGTGCAATTCATCTGTTCCTGGAGATTCAAACTCATTCTGTGTGAACAGGTGTTCCCTTTTCATGTTCATTTCAAACTTTAATCAGCCCCTTAGACCTGCTTTTCATAAATGCAGGACTTTTGTATAGGAAAGGGGTGAACCAAAATAGGAATTGAGCAGCTCTGCCTTTTTTTTTTTTTTTAGTTATCTTTAGCATCTTGCTGTTCTCACCAAACAGATAATTCTTTCCCTTTTAGTGTGAACATATGAGAAGAAGACCCTTGCTGTCATTGTTTTTGTTGTTAGCATTCTTCACCAACCTCATCCCATTCTGAGCTTTACCTTTCCTGACACCCCTTCTGCAATTTCAAGTAGTATGTGTTTTTCCTTAGCGACTTCTCCTTTTTCTAAATTTTATACATCTCTCTCTTGTTTTCAGCTCTTCACTAAGCCTTGTGTGTATCTGCACTGGCATCTCCCTCCCTCCCTCCCTCCCTCCCTCC